AGATGCATCTCAAAATCATACAGTCATTGTTGGAAAGGGTTCAAATACACAAAAAATACTGGAAAACCAAAGAATTTGTGGGAGTTGAAGGATTTTTCTGAAGAACAGCAGGCAGTTTAACTGTTCAGGACAAACAAGAGACTCATGAACAACTATCATTAAAGACAAAAAACACTTCAGCTATTCAGCTAATAGCACAGTGTTAAGAATCTAAACTGAGATGTAAACTCAGATGTAAACTGTCTGCTGGTCGCTGTCCAGTGCTGAAAACAGTACACCGTTTAGAATGCATTACGAGGGTTAGAGCGCGTACGCCACGAACGTCAGCAGCAGCAGCTGCCACACGCCGTGCTCCGGAGCCGCGGCGAACGGGCAGCACAGCAGCGAGAAGCTGAAGCAGAAGAGCAGACTCAGGTGCGCGATCTGCTGCAGCTGGCTCGCCCGCAGGTACTTGACGTTGGTGACGATGAAGAGCGAGACGAAGACGACGGAGTGCACCGGGTACGAGCCCTTGGCGACGGTGAGGCTGGCGCCGGACAGCAGCAGCTCCAGCAGGCTGAGGCTGGACGCCAGCAACGCGAGCACCGTCAGCGCCGTCAGCGTGCGCGTCTGCTCCAGCTTCAGGCTGTAGCTGCGGAAGAGCGACTCGAGCTCCTTGCAGTCGAACTCGTCCTCACAGGCGATGACCCCCGGCGGGCAGTGGCTCCTCCTGCGCCGCGTCTTGATTTTCTGGAACGGCGTTTCGTCCATGGCGGGAGGTCCATTTACGCGCCGGACAGAGGCGTGGAGCGTCGCCGGGGTCCGGAGGGCATGTCCGGCGGGAGAGGTGGAGCTCAGGAGACGGAAGAGACGCGCTGCACGAGCGACTGGCCTCCAGCTCGCGCGGCTCAGACTGGATCACGCCTGCGCGCTGCAATAATTCTGCTGATCACCGAGGAGCGCGCGTCTGACGCGCTGAGCTTCAGCTAAACTGACGCGTGAAGAGTGTAAATCACTGCATGCCATTCAGAAACGATATGCATTAGGATGTGTTTGCACTAGGGATCATTCAGAATTACACCTACGTGATTTCAGTTGCATCGTTTTCCATCCTTGACGCAGTGACAATAAATCAAGATTTAAAATAGTTATTATTACATGTAAAGTGTAAGTAAAATAATTTTTTCTTTTGAAATTGAGATGTATACATCATCTGAAAGCAGAATAAATAAGCTTTCCATTGATGTATGGTTTGTTAGGATTCACAGGACAGCGCTGTTCCTTCGAGCTCACGGACTCTTGTGATTGTGACCAATCTCTCTCTCTCTCTTACACACACACACACACACACACTCACTCACTCTCTCACACACACACACACACACACACACACACACACACACAAAGACTTCCACACATTTATATATTGGACATTACAGACAATAAACAACCATCATTCTATCAACCATCAATCTAACCAACTCTTTTAAGAGGCCCCGGAACAAACGTTAGTTGTGTATACCCACTGTTGAAGACTGAGTGTTACAATTATGTAATGAAGATAGCTTGATGAATAAAAATGTCAGTGATTTCAAAGCTCATGTGATTTTTCAGCGGTGATTTCTGTACTGGATGCTGAGATGAGTTTGAGAAGCGATAGAGACACAAACACAGCTAGTGTTCTCATATGTGCTATATATACTGCTCATGCTAAATTATATAGATGTTAAGAGTTATTTTTAATATATTCATATAAATCTGTTCAGTATTTTTGATGCTTTATGCTCCTAATGATTTTTACAGTGGAGGCAGATATTCATGAACCTGTCATCAACACAAGACCACAAGTTTTAACACATCTGAACATCACACATGTTTGCTTGTATGATTTTATCAGTGATATACAGTAGTCTGCAAATCAAATGTCTAAATAGTTTTATATGAATTTTAATTTAAGTTTTAGTTATTTTAGGGCATCATGTTAAACTAAATAAAGATGATAAATGTTGCGTTGGTAACTATCTGAACTAAAATGTGATTTTAAATATTTTATTTCATTTCAGTTAACATTTGTTTTATTTGAAGTATTTTTATTTTTAATTAATTAATTAATTAATCTATTTATTTTTGGTTGGTTGGTTTAGTTAACTATAATAACCCTGGTTTGAGGCTCTGTGTTTACTCTTGCTTTATTGGTAAACACACATTTTCATTTCATTTCAGTATTTGTCTTTATTAAGGTAATATGTTATGCCCGTCACTCCCCTTTGGACGTTTTGTTGTGTTTTCATCCCTCATGTGTTTACTGACCCTGTTTCTGTCTCTCTCTCATTAGTTAGTTCCTTTTGCCCATATTTTGTTCTGTTCCTGTTCTCGTTATGTCATTATTAGTTCATCCTCCTCACCTGCCCCTCATCATGCTCCCCTTTATTAAGTCTAGTCTGTGCATTCCTTGTTTGTCCAGTGTTATGGTTGAATTGTGCGTGTGTGTCATACCTACCTTCTGTGGATTCCTTCTGTGTGGATTATATTAAAGATTATTGAGTATTCATCTTCATCGTGCGTCTATCACGCCGCACCGTGACAATGCTACTTTATATCATGTGTTTTTAATCATGTAATTAATAGCAGGGGGGTTTTTTTTATGTAAAACATAAAAACACAAGACATATATAGAAGGTCTTCCTGAAATAAAAAGCTTTTGAAATAGAAAGCTTCTTGATATAAAGAAGGTCCAATAAATGAGCAAAATCTTTGAACAAACACATAAAGCAGAGGCTAAGAATGGGAAAGCTCAACAGTTGAATGCTGTCATGAGAATGTGATTCTCAGTGTGGTTTGCTGGTGTTCTTGAGTTCACATGAGTTCATGTGGATGTGTTTCTGCTGCTTTATTTGAGAGTAATGTTTGCTATCCGCTGCAAACACTGACACACTGAAGAGCTTAAACAGGCTAAAAATAGCCTGAGCTTTACTGCTCTAAATCAACACATGTAAAAACACAAGCTTTTTACAGCACAACAAGAGAAATAACTAACAATAATGACAACAAAAAATTCACATCGTTATAGCACGGTTTCTCTCGTTCTCTAGTAAAATATACTCTTAGCAAGTTGAATTGGTTTGAAGTCAAAAGCCTGAAGTAAACAGTGAGTGATGAGACAAACTTCTTTATGAATACAGATCCAGAGTCATGCATCTGTAACTTACACTGCAAGAATAGATTAAAGTGTGACATGCATACTCATTAATAAGTGCAGATTGATAAATCAGCTGCTCAGAAGATCCTGAGCCGTTCTTTATGATCACACACAGACAGACACCGAAAAACTGCCTGAAGTATGAGATCCTACCTGCATCATGACACGAGATTTTATTTTCATCAGTATTGCCCTTTGAAAACAGAAATGTTTGACAGAGGTAACATGATGAATCACAACACAATAGGATTTAAACTCATTTATTCTGATTGTCTTAATGTTTAATGCATATCAATCATATTAATACATGCACAATGAAGACACTAAAATAATACTAAACCAGAAACAGAACAAAAATCAGATTTGTTTTGTAAATCGCTCAAACCCATTTTTTATTTTATTTTATTTTTTGTGGTCTGAAAGATCAGGTTAAACAGTGAGTGTGAACAAGGGTCTTATTTCACATGAAGACTTTGAGATCTCCACACAAACAGAGTAAACAGCATCTGTGTCCCTGCATTAACCAACTCACTGAAACGCGGTTTAAACTTAGTTATTCTTCTTCTGAGACTAAAATTTCTGACTCTTAACTCCTCCTAGAGCTTTAACTCTACATCCATCAAACTCAGCCCAGATCTTCAGACTGATCTTAAGTTGCTATATCTTTTCTAACTGATCAGACTTACGGTTTTCATACAAATGAAGATTACAAATCATAAAATCCCATAGACTTACATTGACATTAATATGATGATACCAGAAATTTCATAGCAACACTCTAGCAACCATCCAAACCAACCTTGCAACCAATATAAGTACCCTAGCAACTGCATAGCAACCACCCCAAGCACCTTAGCAACTGCACAGAAACTCCCAAGCAACCACCCCAATTACCTTAACAACCTCATAGAAATTCCCTAGCAACCACCCTGAGTTCCCGATTAACCGCATAGCAACACCCTAGCAACTTTTCAAAACTTATGAAAACTGTCAAACTTATGAAACTTTTTAGAACTTATTAACCCTTTAATTATAAAGGTATTTAAACTACCAAATACATTTAATTGCACATACACTATATGGACAAAAGTATTGGGACCCCCCCTTCTTTAGAACAGAAAAAGGCACTTCCAAAACTGTGGCAGCAAAGATGGAAAGTTCTTCCACACTGACTCAATCAATCATTTCTTTTTGAAAACTGCTGCTATAAAATTAGAAGCACGCAATTCCCTGGAATAGCATTATATGCTTCAACATTCAGATTTGCACTCGTGGAAATTACTAAAGTAGTTAAACCTGTTGATTAGAAGCGGGTGTTCCAATACTTTTGGCAATATAGTGTATTTGAGAATATCAGATGTTTCATAATTTAGTGAGCACGTTTGTGAATATTTATATTAAAAAAGGAAAAACGAAATAAAAGCGATATATCTGTCATACAGCACTATTGTGTCTGCGTGTGTCACATGACAAGCATGACGCGTCACCATGGAAACAATAAGTCGATACACTAAAATAATGGTCGCCTAAAAAACTCACGCTCAGCTAGAATATTTTACTGAAAAGTCACGTGTGAAAGGGTTAAAGCTTTCTGGTCTCAACAAACTTTTTTATCTAGTTCTGACATGTTATTTCACTGACAGAAGTTCAGCTGCAGTATTAATGTCATGAAGAGACTCTAACATCTCACTGTTGCAGATTTATCACGCAGCTCAAAGCATTATGGGTAGAATCTCTCATCAGTCTATTCTGATTCATCAACACAGTTTCACTGATGATCCAATATTAAGAGACAAAAACAATCCAGACTCCAGCTCCCAGTAACAGCGTCCACACACACTCTCTCTACACAACACCTGAAGATAATAATCAAATCTGTTTGGATGATCAGGATACGACTGGACAGTTTTAGTGGCAGTAATCACTCTGTTTCTCTCAGACAGACGGAGGAGTTTATTCACTGTGTTCAGATCCAGAGAGAGCTGATGGGAATCTGATGGAGATAAAACACATCAGAATCAGGAATTAAAACTACTGGCACTAAATCATCAAGTGAACAGATGAATCCAGGAATCCAGATGAATTTATCTGAACTGATAAAACCATGTCTGTAGGTTCAAACTCTGAAAGTGATGATCAGTGATCATTGTGCATGAATTAACATGAAGTTTCAAACTACAAGTGTAAGTATTATAAATGATCTGACACAGATGTAGAGCTTCACACTGACAGTGTTTCTGTGTTTTGCATAATTAAGCTGCGGCTCTACACAGAAAACAAACGGACTATTGGATCAGCCCAGAGGAAAGAAAAATCAAAAGCAAGATCTCTTTAACAATCTCAAATATTTCTCCTAGAGAGAAATGAGGTTACTTTAAGATCGAATGGAGACGCCTCCTTTTTAAACTTGTCTCTGGAGACAAAAACTCTAACACTCTCACAATGGTCTCCTTAAAGTTTTAGAATATATTTCACACTGTGCTCAGATTGTTTCCTTAACTAGAATCCCCTTACACAACAAAAATATGTGAATATACTGCAAAATATAATGTGATATATTACATAATACACACACATACATACATATATATATATATATAGCTATAGCTATACTAGCTATATTTTAAAATATGAAACATGTACATTGTGAATGATTGTTAAACATTAGAAATATATGTATATTTCCATATTGTCACGTGTTACAACAAACGTTGTGTTAGTTCCTGTTTGCCCCTATTTGGTTCAGTTCCGGTTTTCATTATTAGTTCATCATCGTTCATTCTGTTCACCTGCATTGTAGTACTCATCTCGTTTACTCCTTGGTTTCCCTGTCTTTATAAGTCTTCAGTTTCTAGATGTTCTTTGTGTTGGATTAACGTT